AACAAAAGGGATCTGACAATGTTTCTTGTTACCCCTGCTGCGTAAGGCATGAGATCAATATTTATAAAACAGATTAAAAGCAAGAGATTTTTCTCACTAAATTATTGAAGGTATATGTACGTTTTAACTCTGAATAAACAATAACATTCTTTAAATTTTCTCCTAGGGAAGTGCAGAAGTAGTTGGTGTACTACAGAGCTATTCAATGGTTGGAAACGATGACGTTAACTATAAATATTTGTGATACCATTAATCTATTACATGCCCACGTAGCTATGTATATTTCGCTGACTTCCTGGTTCCGTTTGAGCGCGTTTGGTGAATCATCGTAAAGTTTATAATTCTGGGAGCTTGCATCGCGGATAATTCCTTCCATGCGTCTTCTTTATAGCAATAATCTAAAACCACAACCAGAGTCCACAAATATGTTATTAATACGTACAAAACGTAATTATGTTTGCATATTGAACACCCGACATTTATAGAAACATTTAAAAAGAAAACAGGTACTTGTAAGAAAACATCATTGTATTTAAAACGCACCAAATGCAAGTTATATTGTGTTTCTAAAGTGAAAAATTATTATCCTTACATTATTAGAGATCAGTTCTAAAATTATGAATTCTATTTAGTATTTACTACCATATTTCTTTTCGGTTTTCGGACCTATTAAAATAAACTAAAAGCAATAGTAGTATCTACAAATACGAGGTAGATATGACACTAACGCACCGAAATTGAGGTATTCAAATTACTCCAATTGGTGTAATTAGATTGCAATTCTAAAGACTGGTATCTCCTTCCGTATCATGCGTTCCATATGATCTGTCACATTCAGTTACATAATATAATGTAAAGCGAACAATTTACCTAATTAACCCCACACAGTATGGAGATGCTACGTCTTTATTAAAACAACATTGCGTAAAAGCCTATTCCTCTTACAACATATTATATTGTGGAATAATGCTAGTTGGATGTGACGTCACAAAAATGATTGCAGACATCTCGTGCAGGTGACCAGCAACGTACCGTGTGCACGGAAGTTTTATTACACCATGTCATTCAGGTAGCGACTGTGAAGACAATTGGATATGCCCGCTCTGTTGGTTCAGGTAATTTAGCCTTTTATGTTTATAAACGTTTTGTCTTTGCCGGCGCACATTTGCCATTCATAGTAATAACGGGACACTTTTTTAATATCAGCTTTTCTCCTCTGTACTTATTTTCCTATAACTGTTTTTTCTATTAACAATTAAAAAAAAAAGAATGTTATAAGCAAATTAAAAAAAGGTTAATTTCTCTCAAGGGTTTGCATAAGCTGGGATCACAACTTAAGCGAAATTCTGTGTTACTTTTTAACTCGCGTTACCAAATATAACGCCGCAAGTGATCAACCTATTGCCCCAATTAAAGTACGTTTACGTGCATTTAATCTAATAAACCACGTTATAATTAAAGAGAAAGATGTTTCCGGTATATTATTGTACAGTTACCCTATCCCTAGAGGTGAAGCCGGAATGAAGGTAAATTTAGTTTGTCATTCTGAACACAAAAGAAAAAAAAAACTTTTCTATTGATGTCTTATATCTAAGCGATACTACACATTGTTTAACAAAACCTATTTCCTATACAGCCGTAAAAGAGGTTTTATTTAACAAAAGAATTTTGAACCAATATTTTTATTACGGGAAACGGTGGCAAACGATGTTTAATTATTGTTGTTCCTCTGAGCTTCTTCCTTAGTGCTCACTGCCGCTGACGCTGAACTGTGGTTTGCCAACTTTTAGGTAACCTTTAGGTATGGTTTAGTGACTATACGGAAGACACAAATAGACTTAATATAAGTTCTTGGTACTTCCCGTAAGTCTGCTATTTCATTGCAAAACCAGGAGCTTCTGCGCTGCTCCATCTCGGTTAGAACATATAAACTTGTTCCTAAATATCTTAACCATTTAAAAACATTGCCTGCTTAATTGAAATCGCAACAAGTCCGCGCCGCGCAAGGGTTGCCGGTGCGGACCGCTGGGGCGCAATCAATTAGCGAGCCTTCTACACCGAGCACTTCCGTTTCCGAGCGTTTAGGGACTTCCGGCCCGGGCGGCGGAACTAGCTCATTCCGCTTCCAATCACGCCGGCGTGAAACATGTCACCGCCGTGTTGCATTCATCGGCGGTTTTCGTCTTTTTAATTTTCGAATAGATAATTTCGATAAAAAGCGACTTGAAAAGTTTGACTGAAATCCACAAAACCATGAACTGTAAAACCTTTGCTAGCCTAATAGTTATAGGCGCTCTTCTCTAAAGTCCTTAATAGTATCGGTCTAGAAATATCTACCTTAGTTTCTAAGTTACAGGTAATTAGTAAGGTTCTTAGTCGTTAAGTTTAACTGCGGCATGATGATTGGATAAAAGTTCAATTAAAACGCAATGAGTTAAAATTAAAACGATTTTGAAGGGTAGGGACGTTCATACTTACACTTCTTATAATAGTAGTAGTACCTGGAGGACCGAGCTTTGCTCGGTTTTGGTAAATCATGTATTTTAGAAATAAAATAAAGAAAATAATCTAGTGTAGAAATAAAAGTAAAAAAAATAAGTATGTAAATGATCGTGATACGAACCGCGGCCGTTTGTTTTGGGGCTCGCCCGATTACCGAACGAGCTATTATAACATTTTTTTGCGGCGAAATTTACTGTCATATTCGAATGATATTTTTCATTCCCTGAAAACAGGGATAATCGGACATTTTCTAAAAATGAAACCAAGCTAGATCGATTTTTCGCCCCCGAATCTACGAACATATATATATATATATATATATATATATATATATATATATATACAAGAATTGCTCGTTTAAAGGATAAGATACAATTTCAGTGTATCTGTATAACCAGATAAAGAATGTGTGAAAGAAGTATTTATTTAAAATCAAAAGAATAACTTTTTTTTTCAAGAATAGAATTCACAGTAACAATGACATTTTTGTGCAGCTAACATATTTAACGATTGCTGTCAGAGTTTACACATCACGCAAATACAATTCTCTTGTGCCTATGTCATGCGATAAAATAGCACGCTTTTAACAATATTCACAACTAGGACATAAACTTTTAAAAGCATAAATCAGTAACATTTTTTATAAATTCGATACCATATATACTCATATAATAATTATTATATTATCAAGTGGATCCTTTATTTACAGGATTTTTACTATACTTACGACCACTAAAAACCTACTTAAGGCGTGATTTCTTTTAGTAATGCGGTTTAAATTCTGTTTTACGACCACATTGCCATTAGATAAAATAAACATTCAATAATTAATACCATAACCATAACATTGATGAAGTATCTACGTAGTTTTTTATTATTTACATAAATTGTAAGGAATTACAGGAGACATTGAATGGGATTTATATCGGAATGGTATCAACATTTTAATACGACAACAATATTTAAAGAGAAGAATGCCCTAAGAAAAGCAAGTTTTTAAAAAGGACAGCGTTATTAAGTATTTTTCAAGGAATAAACATAAATTTTAATTCCTACTATGCACCAGTAATTTTTTTTTGTAAGCTAATGAAGATACAAAATTTGCATTCATTACTTGCTATTTTATTGTATATCTACTTTGAAAATACGAAGGCGACCCCATAAAAGTAAAAGAGTCACGTAACAGCCTAAATATGTCCCACCGCTGGGCAAATGCCTCTTCTGTACATATGGTATAGGGGTCAAAGTCCACCATGCGACCCCAATGCGGATTGATAGACTTCACATGTCTTCGAAATATATTTTTTTGTAAAAATATGGGAGTTTGCTCAAGATTTCTTTCACCGCTGAACACGTGATAAGTCAGCAATTAAAGTTAACAATTCAATTGGTGCTGGCACCGGGATTTGAACTCCGGTTGCTGGAGAATTAAAAGCCCCGTCGCCGATTTATCACGTCTCTTTCCAGTCAATACCATACAGAATAAAAATTGTTTCTCGTATAATACCTATCAAGTGACATTGCTGTTAATAAAGTACTCGAACGATAGCGACTAAATAAAACTTATCGGCAGAGCGATACGATATTATAATCTATCTAACTGCTGCCAACATTAATTTTAATTAATCAAATATTTTTATCAATTTTTATCGATACCATTATAATATTGTTACTATTGTATGAAAGATGTATAGCGCTCTCAGATTGTTCTGTGACTCCCACACCCCATTTCCCAGTATTTCATTAACGAATAATAATCTAGTTAATTAATCTTTTCGAACGCTACCTTGCGCATACTGTATAAACAATAGAAACCGATCAAAAATAGCAAAAGAAATTAAACAGGGAAATGTACTTGTTTTAATGATTAATAAAGAAATACTGAAGCTATATAAAAAAAAACAATCTGTACAAAATTGTAAAAATCAACCGATTCTGTGTTCTCCATTCGCTATAGACGCCAAAGTAACCAACGGCACATACGGGAATATATTGACCCCCCAGATCGCTATCGGGTCACACGCAACGCGATCATGTGATTTTTTGTTCTCGTTCAGAAGAAGACACGATGTCGACTCGGTGAGCTAAGACGAACAAAAGAAAGAGAAAAAAAAAAGATTCACGTGTTTCAAACGCAACAGCTCCCTTTACGAAGAGAGCTGAGCCGCGATAAGACGCCCCGGGACTTTATGTATTCCTAGTACATATCTCCGTGACATTGTTTAAGAAACCATTCAAACTTCAACTCCGTACAATTCTTTTTCCTTTTACTTATTGAATTTGAAAACAAAATATCGCTTCAAATGTACTGTTTCGATCATACATGACAGTTTAAAGCTAAAGTTTGACGGTACTTTAAAAAAAATAAAAAAGAAATAAGCGTCCACAATGTATTATTTAACGTATAAGGTTAAGACGAAGGCTCAAACACAAGTGCACAAACGTCATCACACAAAACAAAGAAGCGAAAACTTTGTTAATGATTGCTTTACACTAACCTGGTGCTAGGTTCCCTCTTGGCTTGGCCCCAAGAATTGCAAGATTTACGTTGGCCTTCCGTCCATCGATAATGGGGTTTGGGTCCTTGCAGGCTCGCTCCGCAGCTGCCCGATCACCCATTATTACCTGACAATGTCATGGAAAGCTTTTTACAAGAGCTAAGTATAAATTGTCAACAAAAATAAACAAAAACGATGTAAAGCATCAAGCTGATAAAGTAATGAATTTTGAAAATTTTGAAATGGCACGTTAGAACAATTATTCATTGATAATGTTTTTAATAAATAAACAAAATAGCATAGAAAACGTGATACTTAGAAAAATACAAGGATTTATTACATTACAAAAATGTATAATATTATTACTTAAGAAATTACAAAACTTAAATTACTACAAATATCACATTTGTATCGGTAAAAAACATTATTTTCATAATCTATAATAAAAATAAATTAATTATTATATTAACATATTTTTTTATCATTAATATTTGTTAGAGTAAAAATTTATTCCTTTTTTATTTCTAAATAAATTCATAGGGCAATTTCGCATTTATGGATTAATTTTAAAATGCAACCTGCTTCGAATTAAAAAAGATTTAAACCCATTATCACCATAACCAGTTATTCCGATAGGAAGATCCTTTGATTACGTATTATTGTTCTGTGATGTGTAATAAAATAAAACATGCGCAACGTGCAATTCACTGGATTTTACTTTCATTAGAAGCATTTTCTGGAATCAAATTCATTGTGTTAAATCGGTTGAGATACAAAATTATACATCGGACGATGACGCAGGTACGGCATTACCTATTGTAATGCATGCGCGCACCGGGTCACAACCTCGCTTCTACGCTGGCACGACCAATGTTGCCCGGCCTTCGCCAAGAGCCAATAATAAGGGCAAGGCGCTAAAGCCCTCAGATCAGTTTAAGCTGGTCAGAATATATAACCACCAATAGAATCAACCGATCGAGCCTGAAGGAAACTGATGTCGGACGACCTCTAGATTTTGAAGGTCTGATACATTTTAAAAATTCAAATGTTCACGTCGTTACGACAAAAACATACTGGATAACATGTACAACATTGACTTTTAAAATTAATTGCTTTTATTTCGATTTAGAACATCGATAATTCGATTTAGAAAATCGGGTTTTGTTTACATCGAGACATGAATCGCTTTGCAATACAAAAGTATGTCTCATAGCTGTTTTGTGTATGTATGTATAAGTTAATAATCAATAAAGCGTTTCTTTGAAAGTAATTATTTTAGTAATTAGTAAAAATATAACAATTTAAGCGGAGATTAGGAAAAATTTTCTTCGTATTTCATTAAAAGTAAAGTAAAGCAACAGCCTATATTTATCCCACTGGTGGGCAAAGAACTCTTACGTACAGAGAGTATTAGGGCATAAGCCACCACGAGGCCCCACTGCGGATTAATGGACGTCACATATACTATTTTTTTGTTATTGTTTCCAAAATATGCAGGTTTCCATACAATGTCTTCCTTCGCAGCTGATAACGTCAGCATTTATATTTTTTTATTTATTTTATTTATTTGCTTATAACATGGTTTCTTGTGTGTTACGAATCGTAAATACTGTACCACATGTTATGCTAATTTTATTATAGCGTACAAAATATTACCGATATCAACCAAATCCACTTCACTTTACTATTTATATAAAGTTCACAAAATACAGTTGCAATCAATTCTAAATTAAATGTCACAATTTATAATAAAGCGTAGAAAAAAAGAATAATAATAATTAATTAAATATAATGTCACGTATTCAATTTATGTTCGTACTGTCACCCCATAATATGATTCCGTACAGTAGTATTGACTATATAGGCCCTATATGATAGGACGAGATTGCTATATTTTTATTAGTTAAGCTTTTAATTCGATTTAAGGCATAAACAAATTGGTTTATCCTACTACATAAGCCGTCTACGTGTTATAATTAAAAATTTCATTGTTGCCGGCATCGGGGATCGAACTCAGGTTGCTCGAGTATATGGAATTAAAAGCGAGCGCCCGGACAATGAGTTAAATATTTATATACATATTTATATGTATAATTCTTCTGTACGTGTGTATGTCAGTGAACTCCTCCTAAACGGCTGAATCGATTATGATGAAATTTTTGTGCGTCTTCAGGTCAATTCGAGAACGGTTTAGATTCACATTTTTAAGTTATCGTATTTATGTCTGTGTACAGGACGTCTGTCCGGTCCGCTAGTTCCATATAAATTTTGGACAGTAAAAAAAAATTATGTTGTACGAGAAATTAAAATCACATTAACTATATTGGACAATACGATTACAAAACTTGTCATTAGGTAACTTGGGAAGCCTAATGTAGATTGCGCATACAAATGACTATTTAATAAACCGAACAATTAAAGCCAATCGCTAATAATGTTTTAATTGAAATATAAATTAAAAAGAGATCAAAATAAAACCTATTTTATCGCCTTTCATTTATTTTTTAAATTCCTCATGTCTTTATACAAGATCCATGGAATTACACTAAATGTGTGTTTATAGTTAAAAATAAATGGTTATAGCAACAAAATCGATTGGCGCGATTCGATTAACATGAACGTGTCGCGAGTGGAATGAAGTTTCGTTTGAAACCGTACAAATTGTAGTCGGCAGCAGCTTGATAAGAGCGCCTATCGGCTGAAAGGCTTGCTGTTAGTAGGTTAGTTGAGTTTATTTTACATTTACGACTTTCCCTTTCCTTGTGCGTTGGAAACAGATCGTTTGTTGACGTTACATAGGGCTGTCACCGTCGGTATGCCTATTATTTAACGTTTCGATATTGTTAATTGCAACTAGGAATTAAATTCTAAATGTTATAAAATCACGTTCATACACATACCCGTCGTCGAACAGTTATCGGACTGACTTATAATCAGGTTAAAATGTTTTCTTTTTACTGAAAGTTTTAGAAAATTGCCACTAATATAACAGTTTACTACAATGTTTTTCAAATTATTACTGATTAGTACACTATTAGTGGCTGGGTCCAATTTAAAATTATGTAATATTATATAATAACATTATATTGTATAATGTTAACTAAAACCAATTATTTATAATTTTAGTACATTAAATAGTGTCGCGATTATATATAATTTATAGTCTCACTGTCATAGAACTTACGATAACTGGGCAAATTTTTCAGCGACCTATATTCCATATACAAAAATAGACCAAGTCTGCGCTCGGAACAGCGTCTAGGAATTTGTGATTTAATTCGATCACTGATATTTTATTAATTTTCTACCCATTCTTTAATATCTACACTTCTATTAGGCATGTGTAATTTTGATAACCCAACGATTATTTTGTTTCAGGGCCAGTAAGCGACTAAATCTATTTTATAATTTATGTCATATGGATGTATAAGATAATTACACGATCTAATATTAAGAACAAACATTATGACATAAAATAATGCTTTTATTAGATATTTTGGGCCCCTATAAGCCATAAATTTGTTAAATAAGTACGACTATACAGAGCTAAAACGACATAATTCTTCTATCTAATATAGTCTTTAAGAATAATTCACATTATCTTTAACTCATGGCCGTACTCAGACACTACCATTAGCAAATAACTAGTAATAGATTTGTTAATTTATTTGACTAATGTTAAGATTCTACTGTAAGTGTCCTTCAACTTATATAGCATAATAAGTAAGAATTATGAGTTTGATACAACCTCGTTGTAGAAAGAAGCTATATAAGTTTGGACAATTGGAAACATGACAATATGTGAAAAAGCCAAGAAGTGCTTCGGGTTTCTTTTTAAAACAAAAATTTGTTATCAAATCAATATTTGTTATCGACTAACGTGAGGATAGTAACGGAATTTTATTGATTTCGTCATATCTATTAAATTGTCAATTTTAACCTTCATTTTGATGACTTCAATGTAGGTACAACATCTATTTTTTTTTAATATTACATATATAACATTGAAAGGTATACTGCATATTGAATTAATTTTTATTTTCAAATCCACAATTTGCAACGTCAATAAAAGTTAGCAAAAAGTTTGGAATTGTAAAATTTAAGTCACCTATAAAATGTATGTTTCTTTTACAAAATAATGCTAAACGGCGATGAATAAGATTTGTTTATAAATGAATTTGAAAAGCTATATATTACTAAAAAGGAGTTAAAAATCTATTTTATAAAATTGGTGTCCTCCAACAGTAACGAAAATATACCTATTTGGAGGTTCAGCAAAGCGAGCCTACCCATTGCTCCTGGCAGTACCTGGACAGCTGTGGCTATACCAATGGACGGTAACGAGTTAATGATATATACGATATAGCGTAACAGTGCAAGCTTGAACAATTTTAGTTGGGCGGCGTGCGCGCAGCTGTCCAATATTCGCCGGTCGAGGCAATATTTGAGAAGGTTGCCCCCATATAATAGCGTTAATAACTCTTAGCTCGAACACCAATAAAATAGCTCATAGGGCATCGAACACCTTTAAAACGCTCTCTTCCTTCGCCGTATGATAGCAGCATTATCAACAAACGTAAAAACTCCTAAACTCGTTAAGCGAATAATGATTGCGTCTACTTTGATCCGGTTTTGTTGTTTAAATTTAGTCTAACAATCGATAAAAATAAGATAAATAGTAGTCTTTAGTTCTTTTTTGAAAAAAAAAAAACAAAGTTAAATGTTTAAAAAGTAAATTTCTTTAATTTCGGTATATCTTTTCCTCAATACTATGTCAATGAAAATAACGTTCAATGGTGCCTTTTTTGTACTAAACTCAACCTTTATACTTAATAATCTAAAACTTCTGAAAATGGAGTCAGTTCTATGAACGTTGAAGAGAAGATTCAAGTTAAGTGTGGACGAATTTATCTCGGTTTGGTATTATCTACGTCGTAGCGTGCCGTAGCTGAGAGGCGGGCTCAAATCTGTGCCGCCCAGTAGTTTCAAATTGGTCCAAATGTTCGCCACGCCTTGACAGTTAAATATACCTATTATTTTAGTTAGCAAATAATCGATTTTTTTATAAAGAGACAGTACCAAACATTTCAAATCCATTCAAAACGGAATTACTACAATCTCTCTCATTTCATGGCTAACAGATAGGCACTATTGTTTTATTACGGACATAACACACACTTGTTTAGAGTTATTACTTTTAAATGTTACGCACGTACATTTTATAGTAATTTCTACTACTCTTCATAAAGGTAGTAATGCCTTTTTGATGACGTAATTATGACGCACTTTAATATTTTTCTATTGTATTTTTTCTTTCTATTGCTATTTTATACACTTGTATTGTATTAACTATTAACATCTATTATTAGGAATACTATTATAAAAAATTGCTAAACTGACGGATGGCATAAAGCCCTGATAATTGGATAACCTGACACTGGTTCGCCACTTTACCCGTCCTTAAAGTCGAAAAAGACATTTTCAGTTAGCTATCTCAACATTAAAAACAAGTTTCTTGCTAAAAAAAACTCGATGTAGTTATCGAGGTTCTTAATTATAGCAAGTTCTGTCTAATGACGACGCAAAACCCCTACTGCGCGTAAAATGACTTTCCGTTTTGCCATAGAAGGGATTATTGTGTGCGCTGCCGCCCGTACTATATCGGATGACGTCCTTTTGTCTATAACAAGTACTTTAGCACGTCCCGACCCGACGCTGCGACGACTAATTCTCTATCCAATGAGCATAGAAGAGTGAAACGATTAGTGCCCCTTCACACGGTAAGTGAGAAAATATCAAACAGCGTAGCTACGTTCTCGCTGACACGGGTCGAAATATTTCACACAACAGCGTGCATATTCGACCGAAGAACGTTGCATCGCGATTATTACAGCTATTTGGATGTCGCAGGAGGGTGCATTGGGACATGTACCCTCCCTTACGGGGGCCCTACCCCAGCCGAATTGAAAATGGGGTTGTGATTCATTTCCCACGAGCCCCGCTGGCACTACACAGAAGCCTCAAACTTTATTACAATTCAAGGACTCCGTGATATTACTTTAAAGCATCATACATTGCATATATAATATGTAAAATTGTATAATTATATTCGCCTTGGCAGAGACTAGAAAGAATTTACAACGAAGATTGGACACGATCAAAGCAGTATTCTACACTCACGCGGTAATCCATTCTCAACGCTGCACGACGGCGTCTGATTGCTGAAGCTAAAGTTTATTGAATTTTAATATTCATGTGCGACAAACGAAACTAATTGTTAAAGCGAAGTCGACACGTAGTCAAATAGGCTGTTCAGAGTGATGGTATTGAATGAGAGGTTGCGAACGTTTTCGGGCTGATATTCTCCCAAAACATCAGATTGGCCCAGCGTATACGAATAAAACTACAACTTCCGCGTCCGATGTAATTTTGCGATATGACTTACGTGCGTATGTGTTGAATCTAGTTAGGCACTTGCACCGTAGTAGGTAGCGGCGAGGTGCGATAAGGTGCGATACGGCCGCGGCCGTTTCAGCGGCCCGACGCGAATGCGCATAGGCATCGGGGTTTACGTGTCGATTGAAAAAGCGAACTAGGCAAGTAAAGCGGGAATGTAAAACGAAAGGCCCTCACGAATCCATATCCCCTGCTCTTGCTCGTCTGCCTGTCGGTGATGACGACCGCCTCCTCGATGTCGCCGTAGACGGCGAAGTGCTCGCGCAGGCTCTTGTCGGTGGTGTGGTAGGGCAGCCCGCCGACGAAGAGCTTCGTCCATGTGGTGTCCTTCTGGCCGGGCAGCGCGCCCAGGGCCAGCAGCCCCTCGGGCTCGGCCGGCAGAGCGCCTGCCATCAACATGCCTTGCACCGCCTCCGTCGCGCCGGCCGCTTCGCAGCACTCGAACACTGCGCTGGTGCGGTTCAGTACACGGACGCCGTGCGGTCGTGTCAACGCTGGCTTCGTTCGATACGTGCGTAGTATGCGGCGGTGGCGCGCGGACTGATGCCAGTCGGCAGCGCACGTGGCGCTCCGCTACTAATTTTAGCCCCCGCCGCGCTCCCCGCGCCGCTCACCAGATGCGGCGCCCCGCTGCACGGCGTCCGCCGCCTCGCGTTGCGTGCCCTACTGCTCGCTACCCTCCGTCGTTCGCGTAATGATACGCCTCGTTATCACCGCCCGCTGCGACGCCCGCTCTGTGCCTTGTGCACAATTTCTAGACTTAAGCTGGCCCGCGAACACGACGTTGATTAGGCCCCGCTCAAACGCGTTTTCCCCGCTCCCCGCTCGAACGTTTTCGTGGGCCAGCGAAAAACTAGAAATAACCTTTACGTGATCCGTAGTACTAAAAGAGATTAGTTCATCCGATCTTCTTCTTCGTCTTTTCGTGTCGGCCCAAAATTCAGCCACATGAATTGAACTGTCAGCAGCATTCACGAGGTCCTCCTGCGTGCAGTTGGGCACGCAGAGCACGACGTCAAATGTTCCATGGTTCGGGGAACAGCACCACATTTGCACTCCAAGCTGGAACCGTCTGGGAATACCCACCTGAACAGTTTCTCTTTACTTCGGCCGACTTTCGTCCGAAGTCTTTTAATGACTTTCAAGTCAGCCATGGCAACTCACGTCCAGGCGGTGGTTTCTCAGACAGTGGGACAAAGGGGCTAGGGACATTGACACTTTCTTACCACAGCCTGTACTATAGGGGGGACGTAATAAGCCTTCCCGTGGAGCTTCGCCTTTGCTCGCGCCCTCCCCGTGAGTAGCGGCAAAAACCACGAAACTAATTACTACTACAAGATGACAAACCCAATATTAAATTCTTCATCCGATATAAATACATAAAGAGAAGATAGCCTTTTTCGAAGTAAGTCCTGATTTTTAACATTCGGTTGCAAGAAATCTCGCTACCATTGTATGCGTTAATGATTGCAGTCTACGACTGGTTATTAAAATTTCTTGCAGCATGTTAATCGCGCAATCATAGCCGATAGTGATTGTTGACTAGCTTTAACGTAAAACTAAAAACGATAATCAACAATTTATTCGATGCGTGTTGGGAAAATAAAAGTATTAAGGAAAGAAATAAAATTTTGAATTAATCATTTTTATGCTAATAAAGCTAAGTCTTAAAGCTCTACTGAGACCAATCATTAATATTCTAAAATTCCTTCATATAATCTTGGAAAACTTTCTAATAGATAAATTTTTAAAACGAAGAGTTGCGCTAAAGAACTTATGAATGAGAATTTATATGACATCTATAAATAATTATCATACATCTAAAATCTATGCTAAAAATGAACGAATAATATTTTCGTTGCTGTAAAACAAAATTGGCTTAATTTCATTGAACCCGAATGGTCTACAAACTTAGAAGGTAAAGTAGGTAAGTTTTAACCTTTGAACTCGTTGAAGTATTTAACAAAGTAATTGACAGGAATATAGGCTCTCATGGATTTAATTTAGGGATAAATCTTTATTTTTTTATTGTTATTAGTTCTATAGAAAAGACAATCTTTATTGATCTAATATTTACAAGATTAAATCTATCTAAAATTACATATTATCTAATAAACCTAATCCACGCGGCATGGTGCCAAGAACGCTAGCTGCATTTCCTCGCTGAATAGTTATGCTTAACCTTTGCGCGAGAAAAGAACCAGCTCTCTTGTCACCAGCCGCGGCGTTAAGCATAGGACATAAACTTTTAAAAAAATTTGATGTGCGGGGACCCCACGGACCTAATGTTTCAACAGCAAATGGCACAAATACATAATCTGAACATAAAGACTCATATTTGCGCCATTTACTTACTTCAGCTGCCTCCGATGCCGCCCCGGCCCTGACCGAAGTACCCCTTAGATGAGAGGCAGCCAAAGTGTCTACACAAGTGGCGTCCCAAACAAGGGCTTTGCCTCTCTCCCAAGGGATCAATGTTAAACCGTCGGGTCTCTTACCATCGTCGCGTAAAATGCCACAGGGCTCTAAAATAGATGGAACATTGATGGAAACAAGAGCCCTACGGATGATGTCGTTCAGGGAACCGTGGCGAGAAAAACGGCCAGCACTTTTTTGACAAGAAAGCCCGTGGAGACCAAATTTGTCTACACTGACACCACAAGGGCATTGGTGTGGTTGACAAATCGGTGCCCCCAGACGGATTCCTACAGCAATGCGTAAGCTTTCATCGTCAAGTAATGTGCCCAAGTTACTTGATGGTAAAGCGTGAATCCAATAACTCGATTCTTTAGATGAGACTCCTAGGACACGGGCACGCTCTAAATTACTTTCTAAAGATTGAAACGTATCTCTCTGTACTCTCCGCACCAAAGGAACATCCCACTGTTTTTGTAGGTTTACTTCCAGTGGGATATTTTCATTGGGACGGATAGACAGCCAAGACATCCTTGCCTCCTCTGCATAGGAAAGTTCAGAATCGTGATTAAGGATGTTATTACATAAATTATTTACGCTATGCACGGAAGCAAGGAAGGCAGGTAGAGCGACACTAGAAATTTTCCTTACACCGATACCACCAAAACGAATTGGCAGCGTAGCTTGAGTCCAGCTTAATTCATTAAGAGATAAATTTAGAATTTTTTCTAGAGCTGATTTAAGATGGAAATCAATTTCGTTCAAAAAGTCACCGCATTTCCAAACTGGACTCGAGCGAAGGAGGTACGTAAATTTAGGTACAAGAATACAATGTCACAAAATAGTAAGCGCAATATGCGAATTTAGTAAAAACAATTTATTGACATGATCTAAAAATTGACTTAACTTTAATTTTAAATGAGGTTCCAAACTTGGTATCAACAAAGGAGCACCTAATAGGTAAAGTGAATCTGAACGGACTACGTTAATTCCCGGTATGATAGAGCTAAAATTTTGGGTCAAAATGATTTTGTCGGAAAAAGAAATCTTTTCGGAAAAGAAAAGTTCGCATTTGGAATTATTTAAATCGAGACCGATATTTTTAAATTGTCTAATAATTTCAATAAGATCACTTTATACATCGTCAACTTTACCTCCTAGAGTACCATCGTCTAGGTATCAGACATTAAGTTTAGATTTCAATTTTGAAATAATTGGATTAATTCCCAAACTAAATAATGCTGGTCCTAGCGGATTTCCCTGCTGAACGCCGACAGCAGAATCAATAATATGGTTTTCATAAAATAAATTACTCTTTTCACTGTAACATTGCCAAACATAGTGATATATTTCTGGTGTATGGTTAGCCACTTCGTTCAGCAGAGTCGTTCTATCAATGGAGTTAAAAGCATTCCTTAGGTCAACCTTCAGAAGTACATCCAAATCACTAGTATTTAAAGAAGTTCGAACGGAATGTACAGCCGCTTCACAGCCGCCTTTGCTTCCAAAGCCTTGTTGAATAGGCTGGAATATTCTTTTAAGGCCGGAGATTATGTGCCTACATGCTAATTTTGAAGTTAAGCGTCGAAAGGTAGAACCAATTTAATTTAGTCCATGGTACATTTTCTTAATCTTCCCAGAATAGTTAAAAACAGTATCGCAGTAAAGTTATTTCGCATACCTCTCCTCGAAAGTGGTTCTAAAATCTGAAACAAAACTGATAGAATTTTTTTTTTTTTGTATATTTTCCCAATAAGTGAAAGCCCCGTCAATCGTCAAATCGGTCCAGCCGTTTCAGAGATTAGCCGGAACAAACAGATAGACAGACAAATATTGTAAAAAATGCTATTTTCGTATATGTACCGTTATGTATACACGGTACGCTATATGCATTTAATAAAAACTGTTTATTTTAATATTACAAAGATAATAAATAATTCTTATTTACTACATTAAATGCACGCGTGTAGTATTCACTTATATTTGATTGTGTTCTTAATCTTGGGTTTTTTTTTTTTTTTTTTTATGTGAAAAGTTGCCAAACGAGCTGACGGTTCACCCGATGTTAAGTGAATACCGCCGCCCATGAACATCTGCTACACCCCAGGGCTTGCAGATGCGTTGAAAACCTTTTTGGAAATTGGGCTCCGGCTACCTCACTCACCAGACGAAACGCGAAAGTATTTCTCATACTTCCACTTTACGCCGGTCTTTTGTGAGGTCGTGGTACTTACCCGGACGAGCCTGCCCATTCGTGCAACAGCCGAGGCTGCTGCGTGGCTCTACCACCGTTAAACGGGTTGCTTGTTAAGTATTCATGCACTTTTATTATACAAATAAAATGGGGTCCGAATAAATCTGAATCTTATGCAACGAATCCTGCTATTCTATTCAGATGCTTTAACCAGCTAAAACAGGACCGGCCGGTATTTCTGCACACATTGTCATTATATGATTTATAACGAACATTCGCTTCTGTCACAGGCTATTGGGAGCAAGAATTCCCACCAATTGACGTCGAACAGACAGTTGCATCGCGTCGTTATCTGAGATCGTCGTACGCTATTCAGCTTCTGCTAATAGTACTTACTCAGCAACACAATTTCCGTCGAGGGATCCGGCCGTTAGACGTTCCGGAGCGGGGTGCAACGCGATTCGGCAATCCCCAACGGACGAGAATGATGGCGAAACTGGGGTTGGGCAACGCAACAGTTTCCACTGCTGCACGAATGGGCAGGTCAGTCCGGGTAAGTACCACGACCTCACAGAAAACCCGAGTAAATTAGAAGTGTTACACTTTTGCGTTTCGTCTTGTGAGTGAGGTAGCCAGGGCCCACATTATTTAGAGGTGGCAACGCATTGGCAACCTCACGGGTGTTGCTAATGTCCGTGGGCGGTGTTTCTTACTTAGCAAGAGGTGAACCTCCAGCTCGTTTGCCACTTTTTCACATAAAAAAAAGACCCGAGGAAAGGTATCGCATGGCAGGAAGCATCCGCGGCCCGGCTACGTGGGAAACGCATTGTTCTTGCACGGAATATGTCGATCGCACTTCCTTCGCCCGCGTCGCTGCCCCATATTGTTGACAATATAACAATACTGCCGCTACACTATAGTGTCGTGTTAAAGACATACTAGATCATCTTAAAATCTTGGATAGAGGGCAACTGGCCTATTGTCGCGTAAACTTGAACTAAATCAAATAGATATTTTGCATAAATTTTTGTGCTAATGTGATTATCTAGGTTACAAATACCGCATTGTGTCAGTTTTGTAAGTACGTTATTCATATTTTTAAGCGCCAAAAAGGGAATCAACACCATCTCTTTCTCATCAGCTTTTTCGATTGGGGTAAATATTTATAAGCTTCTTCTGAGCTTGACCAGGTTTGCTGTGGAAAATACAAATAATTTAAGGTTTTTCGTGTAACAATGATGTATGTTTGATTATTACATTTTATAACATTATGAAGGGAAAGAAATATTAAAATAGATAAGTTCCATCAAAGCTGAACACCTGTTTTGCGATTTCGGTGTCACACACAGTTTCTCACATATAGCCTTAAAAGGTGTAAACCTTCCAGTCTGCTCAGATTTTAAGTACCTCGGCTCATTGTTCGGCTCATAAGTACCTCGGC